AGAGACCAAAAAAAAGCCTTCAAGGGTATAACATGGGGACCTGGGATAAATATATGAAGACGAATATATTAACCACTGTTAGTCAGTTCCAAAGTCCCTTGACAGGAGGTTGTGCTTGTCAGATTGTTCCTAAACGAAGTTCACGATTTGGAATCTCATTGTTAATTATTCTCTGGATAATCTATGAACTTCATGACCTGCATTCAGTGGGCAGAAAATACCAGATGCAGCGATGCATAGCAAGCACACCCGTGAGACCCTGCTCCGCCTCAGGGAGCCACCTGGGGAGCTTTCAAAGCAGTGCTACCTGGAGCCAAACCCTGGGGTTTGCTGCCGTCGGTCTGCGGTGCAGCCGGCAACGCTCCTGTGCGGGGTGAGCCACTGAGCTCGGGGCTTCGGCATGCGCGCTGCCCAGCTTGGCGCATGTTACGTCAGACCAGCAGCTGCTTACTCTCTTCCGGAAGCACCTCTCAGGCTGCCTTTTTTTGCAGCACTGGGCATGGAACACCGCACCTCAGGCGCTCGAGGCAAGCGTTCACCCGCAGCTCCACCCGCCCCAGTTCACAGCAATCACTCTTCCACTAAGGCTTTGAGTACAAGAGTACTGTACTGGATCCCAAGAGCAGCGCAAAGCCCTCGACTCCAGGAATATGTAACCGCTCCTTTAATATCTGCCTTAGACTATGCGTCCCTCATGGTAGCCCACTCTGAGCTGCAGTGCTTTGTTTTGTTTTGTTTCCCCTCCCTTTTCCTTAATTTACTTGGCCCAAACTCACTCTTCCGAGCCCTTTTTCCATCTAACCTTCCATTTTCTCCTACTGTTAATACATGTGAAACTTTGACACTGCTAAAAAAAATTTCCAACTCAAAAAAAAATTTCCACTTTGAGCTACGCAAGGTGGCGCACACCTGCAGTTCCAGTATACCGGTAGATGAGGCAGAAGGGTCACCGTGAGCAAACTGGAAGCCAGGCTGTGCTACAGAGTGAGCCTGAGAAACTTAGCCAGACCCTGCCTCAAAATAAAAAAATAAAAAGGG